ACATGTTTTTAGTGAGTAAGTGACTAGAGTTATAACCAATTTAAATTAGAAATTTTTTATTTCAAAAATTAAACCATACAACTTTAAATCACAATTCATATTTCATTAGTGAGTGAGTATTTATAGCCACTTTAGAAATCAGAAATCTCTTTAATTCAACAACTAATAAATAGCTCTAAATTATAATTTATATATTATTAGTGAGTGAGTATTTTATCATAAATCTAATTAATTACAAAAATAATAAATCTAATTTATAAACTATATATAATTAGCATGTGAGTAGTTAGAGTCATGCCATTTTTAATTCACAATTTAAAAATATTGCTTAATTGTAGTTACATATTATTAGTGAGTGAGTATTTTTATAATTATTTTTAAATCAGTTTTGTTAATTTAAAAATAAACAACACTAAATTACACAATTTACATGTCTTTAGTACGTAAGTAACTAGAGTTATAACCAATTTAAATTAAAATTTTTTATTTTAAACCATACAACTTTAAATTACAATTCACATATTTCATTAGTAAGTGAGTATTTATAGCTACTTTAGAAATCAGAAATCTCTTTAATTCAACAACTAATAAATAACTCTAAATTATAATTTACGTGTTATTAGTGGGTGAGTATTTAATAATTGTCATTGAAGTTATGTTAATTTAAAGAATAAATACCAAAGCCTTAAATCACAATTCAAATATGTATACAAGTCGGTGAGTATTTAAAGTTATACCTATTTTTTAGGGATGGACCAGTCCGTTCTGGTCTCTAATAAGACTGGTCTATTAATGTTTTTCAGTCCAGTCTCAGTCTCCAAAACGGTCTTTAATTATTTAAACCTCTAATTATTTCATTAGCTAATGGAGAGTGTCAAATCATATTACTTGCAATTGGAAGTATCATGTAACATACTTAATAATTTTAATTAGACTTTAACCATTAATGAAGACCGAGGGCAGAATAACTATTAGACTGATTAAAAAAGACTAGTCCTTATTTGGTCTTTCCTTGACTGATCCATCCCTACTATTTTTAAAATCAGAAATCCCAAATTAAAAAAATTAAAATTTTCATATTTTAGTGAGTGAGTATTTAAAGTCATGATTATGTTAATTCAAAAATTCTAATTATATATAATATGTTAATTTACGTTAGACAGTAATTATGCTTGTAGTTTCTTGTAAATCATAAAATATTAGTGTGGTACATTATTTTTAAAAATTCTTTTTTATAATATTTAGACTTAAAAAGAAATTTCATAATTGGACAAATAGCAATTCTGACATTGATGACTTTATTCAACAAGAGCAACTTTCTAGTTCCTATTATGAATATATTATTGAATGGATTCCTTTTAATAAATTTACAAATATAAAATATCTTGGTAAAGAATGCTTTGCCACCATTTTTAAAGCAACATGGATTGATGGATATATTCAAAGTTTGGATAGTAAAAATAACCAATGGAAAAGAAATCCACAAATACATGTTTGTTTAAAAAGTTTTCATAATTCAGCACATTCAACAAATGAATTTTTAAATGAAGTAAGTATTTATTTATTTAAATATGTATTTAACGAGCAATTCTACTTATCTTTAATATTTTAGGTTAAAAATCAACATGAAAGCCTAGGCAATAAATCAATTGCAATTTATGGTGTTACTAAGAATCCAAAAGAGAATAATTATATGATAGTTATGCAGTATGCAAAGCAAGGAAGCTCCGAAACTTATTAGATAATAAATATAATAAATTAAGTTGGAAAAATAAAATAGAATACTTGTATGACATAGTTTATGGACTCAATAAAATCCACCAGAACAAATTAATGCATAAAGATTTACATTCTGGTAATATAGTTAATGGAAATATGGCTAGTTCATATATCAGATATTACCGATTTTGGATTATGTAAGCCAATATCACAAGATTCAAGCTCTAGAGAAATTTATGGAGTACTTCCTTATGTTGCACCAGAAGTGTTATATGGAAAAGAATATACACAGAAATCAGATATTTATTCTTTTGGAATACTTATGTCAGAAGTTTTTACAGGATATCCTCCATATCATGATATTTCACATGATTATAATCTAGCAAATTCTATTTGCCTAGGTTATAGACCTGAAATTAGATGCAAAGTTCCTCAACTACTTTTAGATTTAATGAATAAATGTTTAGATGCTGTTCCTCAAAATAGACCATCTGCTAGTGAATTATTTGATATTCTAGATGGGTATCGTTTTGATTCTGGTAAATTTAAAGCAGATAAATTTGAAATAGATAAACAAATTAAAGAAATTGAAAATTCATTGGAAAAAACGTCGATTTGTTATCAAGCCAACTCAGCACAACTTAATTATCAAACGCACAGGCAGGCCATTTATACAAGTCGACTTTTAAATTTTCAAAAACTTCCTAAGCCCGTAAATGCATCTAATAATAATTCAGGTAATAATATTTATTCAACTTTTCAAAAAATTAGTCTTACATTTTATTATAACGTTTTATCACCTGAAATTATTTTAGGGAGTAGGCCTGTTAAATTTCTCGATTTTGACGAATTGAAATAATTATTATTTCCAATTATATTATATAATAATTGTTAAATCAAGGTACAATTGCCTGGATGCATATTTAGCGAAGAATTTTTATTTTTATTTAAATATCAAAGTTTTATTTTTTAATGTATTTTTAGTTCGAATATTATAAATGTAGCTATGAATATATATTTTTTTCTTTGGTTTCGCCGTTGCCGCTTTCATATAATACAATAAAATATTTACATATCTATATATGTGATAAATTTGAATGTTTGATATTCAATTTTTACGAGTTTTATTAAAAAATAAATGCGGTTATAATCTAACTATTAGTAAAAAGTACAGTATCCTCTAGTATAAAAATGAATAGGTTCACAAATACGTATTATTCTAGTTCAGAATTTTATGCCCTAATAGTGTTAAAAAGGCATCGTTGTTTTAAATCTTAACTGCGGTAACGAGTCTAAATTCTAAATAATACGAAAAAATTGAATTTACGGACAAATTACGACATCATTTATTTTAACATTAGCTGTTAGTGTAAATACGCTAATAGCCATTTTATTTCACAATCGAACCGCAATTAGACTTCTAATACTCGAAAAGCATCGGTACGACTGGTCATGTTTGGATCAATGCCGGCTAGCCAAAGGTGCCGGAAATAAATTCAATTAAAGGACATGAAGTCCGCAGAATACATTATGAGTAATTTTAGCTAAGTAATTTTAGCTAAGTAAATCGAACTGAAACGATGATATGCTCCCAGAAAATTAGCAAGTGAGATTGCGCCAGGTATCATCGTAACAGTAGAATGAGCGAGAAGTAGAACGAGCGAGAAGCAGCATCAGCCGGTGGTTTCCCGCCTGCTCGAAGCAGGCCGGCTGTTAAATAGGAAAATGGCAGAATCAGGAGACTACAGTGTGCGAAGGGAGAGGTGGGTCGAGAAATTTGTTTGCCGAAGACTATTGTGTCGAAGTGGGAAAGAGTATCGAACCCGACTCTTTTTTTCGGCTGTTTATATATCGATCGTGGTCGGTGGCTTATTTAATTACGTATTTCTGGTTGCGTGTTGATTCATGCAATTTAGTTGATTATTAATTGATTCGTTCTTTGATCCCGATCCCTGCCATTCGCCCCATGATTTGAAGGCACGGGTTGTAGCACGTGGCATGTAGTCCCTGACCAGTTCTTCCCTTTCTTTTCGATCCGTTGACCCTTGTCAACACGCATCAACAACACTAAAATTCTTTGTACTGCCATGCAGCCGCCGAAACCAGTTTACATAATGTCCTTTTACATTAAAAACTCGGTTTAAAAACTGATATACGTAATTATTTCGGTGCTTTTTTTTCTTTTTTAATATAACTTGATTGATTTCACTTAATAGCAGATTATAAATAACATATGATTCTTACCTCTGGCCACAAAAAAACTTTTGAATCTATATTAATTTTTTTTTAATAACCACTGGGGTTTCAAACTTAACTTGAAAATAAGTTGGAGTCTGAAAAGTCCTATTTTCGTTTTTAAATTTCGAAATCAGAAAATGAAAAAGGAGTTATCCGGAGATAAAATAAACAAACTTTTTTTGATAATGTATATTATTATCTTATTATATAATTAGCTTGCAAATAAAATAAATAGGTTTTATAGATCGTTGATTACAAAATTAATACGTCATTAGTTTAATTCGAAATTAGAAACCTGAAACTTAAGTATGAAACCCCCTATTGTGATCATTTTACCATACTAACCTAATATTAAATTTTGCTTGCCTACATAGATGATTTCAAGCTTTTTGAACTAAATCAAAATTCGATAATTATAACTTATATATTTCAGATCCGTTAGCTTTTAAAAGGTACAAGATAATAACTCAATACATGCAATAAAGAAGTCAAAGATACTATTTTTCTAGTTAACGATTCCTTATGATCCCTCTGCAGCGTCATAGAACGATAACAATTCGATTCTTTCGACTTGGTCACATGAATTACGTCATGTCTATTAAACTTGAATCAATATTTCTATAAAATTTATAAAATTTACAAACCCGAAGAGTATTATCCCTTTTCATGATTAAAATTGAGTAGATACTGTAATATAAATGACTCTTATAGCATATTGATGACGAACAAATATTCTTCAAAGCTACCAAATTATCATAAAAAAAATTGATTTTTAATTATTTATTGTTCTCATTAAACTTTTGAATAAAATAAAATAATTCAATGCCTTTCACTTAATTCGCTGTGTAAAAATATTTACTATCTAATTTTTTAAAAATAAACGCAATTACAATTACCGGTACTCAGTATTTCCGAATATTCGGAATGACTTCATTTGTGTGTAAATAACGTAAATATCGTCATTCAACTTGACATCACAAAATAGGATAATTGAACGAATTGTTTAAAATTACTCTTTAAACACGATTCACTTAAAATTAGGCATGTTTTCTCAAGATATGAAATTCTTTTCACTAATTCTATTAATTCTATTCGTTGCGTCTCATATATCGATATCAACAACATTTGCAACTTCACAAAATAATAATAATTCAACTCAAAATGATAATCAACAAGAATATTTTTTAATCTTTCGATCACCACCATCACAAGAGTTACTAAAAAATCTTTCATCACAATATTCAAATGTTGGTGAATTAATTACTTTTAGTGAAAATTTACACTTTTTACCGGGTGAATTTGATAATGAATCTATTGAAACTTTTAAAGATTATAATGAAAGTGAAGAAAATTCTTTGAATAATAAAAAAAATTGGATTATTGCTGAAAATGGAATTGTTAGAGCTTTAGATAATGTAGTATCTGATGATTATGTAACTGAAAATTCGGATTTTCTTAAGTTTAATCATGGAATATTTGAAAATAAGAAAAATAATATTTGTGTACAAAACTCTGTTCAAAGTTGGGTAAGTTTAAAAATAATTTGATTTCAATAAGCTTTTGTATTTAAAAATAAAATTATCGTTTATGTGTAAAAAAAAAAATTTGTAGGGATTAGATAGAATTGATCAACGTACACCCACGTTGTCTAAAACTTATTCATATCCTGAATCCGCTGGTTATGGTGTAGATGTCTATGTTATTGATACGTGAGTTACTATTACTATTATTCTACAAACTCAATCTCTATTGATGAAATTAATCTCTGCTGCTGCTATAATTATTAGAGGGATCGATATCGATCATCCAGAATTCGAAGGTCGCGCAAGTTGGGGCATAACTACTACTAAACGAAACACAGATAAGGATGAAAATGGACATGGCACTTTTGTCGCTGGTTTGTAATTTTTAGCATTCTCTTTTTTTTTAAAAAAAAAAATTACGTAATTTTTTTTTTTTAAAAAAAATAAAGGCATAATTGGAGGTAAAACTTATGGTGTGGCAAAACGAGTCAATCTTATCGCTGTTAAAGTATGTTAAATAAATGTTTGATCGTATCATTTTTTACTTTTCTTGCAATTCACTTTTATTCGATAATTAATAGTCACTTGACGATGAAGGAACTGGCTCGGTTCAAAGTGTTCTTTATGGACTACAATATGTAATTCAAAGTCATATGGCTAAAGGTGGCAAAGGAAAAACGATCGCAAAGTATGATCATATAACTATTACATAAATATAATAAATATTCTATAATTATTACATGTTTAGTGATTAATAAACAGATTAACGAACAGATATTTGGATTTTGATTCTTTTTTAGTTTGTCCTTAGGATCTGAATATAATAGAGCAGTGAATCTCGCTGTCAGTGAATTGGTCAAGCATGGGATAATCATAACGGTAAGGTTTCATATTATATTCATGAAATAAATTCATATTTATATTTAGTTTTTTTTGTACTATATTGATTCATATCGATATATCCGTTTTATTTTACAGGCAGCAGCGGGAAATGGATATGACGGAAAAGGTATCGATGCATGCAATGTATCACCAGCGAGTGCTCGAACAGCAATAACTGTTGGATCAACCACTCCAACAGATTATATTTCGCGTTTCTCGAATTATGGTGAATGTGTGAATTTATTTGCTCCAGGTCAAGGAATCCTCTCTTCTTATCCTTTTCCATTAAACGGCTCTTCAATTAAATCAGGAACTTCATTTGCTTGTCCTTATGTTGCTGGTATTCTTCTTTTTATTACATCTTTTTATTG